CTTGGGCAAAAGCCTCGATCCTGTGTATCAATCCGTGAATCCGTGAATGTAGTAGGTGTATGTTTTTGTATGGATCACGTGACTAGGACTAGCCAATCATTCGCTTCAGTGTGGCTTGTGCATGAATCGAATTCGGCTTGTAATTCGGCCTAACAGACGTCTTTGTGGTTGGTAGTGTCGTGGGCGCTCAGGTAGGCAGACCAGGCGCTGTTGTGATCCGATTGGGCTATCCTCTTGGTTTGGACGTGAGATGCAGGGCCTCACTGGCGTTTCGTGCAGCGTGATGGAACGCATTTTGAAGCGAGCCATCCAAGATTACCCTACTACCAACAACTTGATATCTCCACTTTAACATGGATTTCTCCAGACCGTTTTTGTGTGATACACATGCTCATATACGAGGGAGTCATATCCAATGCCATATTTTCCGACTTCTCAATAGCATTTGATAGGGAAATGACTATTACCACAACTTTTCGTTTCTTCATTTTTGTGACCTATGGGGAGTTCATGAAAGGTTCCGTAGGATTTTAATAATAAATAGAACCTTAATTTGGTTTATATGCACTGCAGCAGTTTTTAAATGTTTGTTCCAGTCGCTCTCCGTCTCTGCGTAAGGTGTAACCCTTTCTAAAATATAATCCCCGGTGACTTACACGGTCTCTACATGCATGTGATGGGAGTTTTGTTGACAGAAATCAGTGATACCTTAAGCGCCATTCAGCGAGTATGCATAATTATACAATCGAAAATGTGATATTTATAGTGCGGATCCACAAACTCGAGTCTCATGGGATTCTAGGGATAAGTGTATACTGGATTAAGGTGTCCCATCCCGAATGAAATTAAGCTCGACCCATTCTTCTCCGGCGCCGGTCTCCATTGAAGTTCCTCGGTGGTCAGTTATGGGACCACTGCTGTTTCTGCTATACGTCAACGACCTTTCAGACGTTCTTGCTAGTCCATATGTACTTTTTTCAGGCGACTTGAACTCCTGGAGTTCTAGTGCCAGTGCCCTCCAAATGGATGTTGATGGTCGCTGGCCTTGAATCCGTGGAGTATAAAACGCGTCTTGTGGTGCTTGACCTCTTTCCCCTGAAGTATTGTCGCATTTGAGCAGACCTAATTTTTACTTATGCACTGTTTAAATAAGGTTTGCGCAACAGGTTTTTCACCGATGACCCAGCAAATGCACGGCGGGGGCATGGTAAAAAATTTCCATTTCATTTCGCGAAATTTTTTCGCATTTCAGGTAGTTGATGCGTGGAATAACCTTCAGTCGACGGCTGTTAACGCTCAATCTGGAACCCGGCTCAAAGCACTATTACACATTTTGTATTCGAGTCCTCGCGCTGACAAGCCTGCTGCCTTTCGCTGGTGCCTTTGAGCTGAACGACAGCCGCCGAAGGGTAAGGAAAAAACCGACGCGGGGAAATTGGGTGAAGCCCTCGATCCTGTGTACCAATCCGTGCATCCTTGCGAACGTAGGTCGCCCGCTTCAGATGTGCCGATCATATAATACTCCTTTGCTTTACTAATGTCTGGAACAACGGAAATCGCTTGACAGCGTTGTGTCATCAGCAAAACAGCCCCGAATCAAAATGCACCACATTGATATCAGTTATCGCTGACGAGGATCGATCATAACCTGCTGCTCCTTCTGGAACTCCGTCATAGACTCCGACCCTGCGTTTGTGTGCTGCTTTTCATTTTGCTTTTTAGTTCTACGCAAAACGCACACGCCACTGAGAAGCTAGTGGACCCAGAAATCGAACAAAACCATAGGTTTTAAGATACCAATGCCAGCCCGTCGAACGCTTGCCGATGGCCCGATTTCGGATATAAACGGCCACTGGGAAGACATATCCAAAGCACTAGTTAGTGCCGAAACTTCCGTTTGCGGTACAACTCAACCAACCACATCCATGCATTGGATCTCTGATAGGACCGTGTCTTTGTAGGAGGCCTGGTGACAGGTTTCCTTGGTTGTAACCACAACTTAGCTTGATGCACCATTCCTTGTCAGGTAAATTTGAGTGCCTGTGCAGACCGGGACGCTTGATAGACCAGAAAGGCCGAAGATATATGAGAGGCGAAAAAACGCTGGAAACCTCCGCAAGCTTTTCCATTTGATTCGTTTGGATGGTCATCGGAAGCCTCTCGTCAGCGAAATTACCAGGGACCCAAATCGCTTCAACAAAGAAGAACGTTTGGACAACTGGACACAGTACTTCGAACAGCAATTCAGTAAGCCATCTGCTACTTCCAATTCGGAACCCTGGCCTTCAACAGAAAGGTGAATACGGAAAATTTTCTTCCAGCTGTAGCACCCTTTCGGTGCCTAACTGCCATGCCACCAGAAGGAAGCGCGAGTGCTAGGATGCTACCAGGTTGCCCAAGCCTAGACAGTGGAAGTCGAGAGGCAGAGGTCGGTTTCGAGCAATCTGACAGTGTCCCAGCAGATTCGCGCTCTAAACAGTTGAGCCATATCGCTCCTGAGCCACCTGGGAGAGAGACCGTCCCAGACAACTGGTGCCCGTTTTCAAAAGGGTACTCACAGTGAGTATGGTAACCATAGAGATGTTTGACTACTGTTGTGTCCACATCTTCATACTCCGTCAGTTGTTAGGGCAACGCCATATGTACAGACGATTCAATCTTGTTGTCCCTTGGCCCCTTCGACTTCCCCTGTCTAGGCTTGGGCAATCTGACAGTGTCCCAGCCCTCGTGCTTTCCTCTCTTCTTTCTTGTTCATCTTCATTGATGAAATAATGAGATGAATGCTTGGAGGTCTTCAAAATCTCGGTGTTCGAGTTGTTTCTGGTGAGAGCCTTGTCGAGCTGGAGTACGCAGACGACACTGTTCTCATCTTTGAAGAATACAAAGAACACAAGCCCTGTTAAATAGGTTGACCACCATCATACTATCTTTCGGCATGCGACTTGCACCTTCAAAGTGCAAAGTCATGCTTCAAAACGTACGGTCTCTGAAAAATTCTCCGTGCAACTCAAAGAGAGTCACCGGAGGTTGTGGAGGACTTTCTATACACTGGTAGTTGCATTAGCCCTGACAGAAATGTGTCTGACGAAGTCAATGCAAGAATCTCAAGGGCTCAAATCACGTCTGCTAATCTTTCACTTGTGGCGTGAAAAAAGCATGTCACTGGGTCTTATGGGTCGAGTGTACTAGGCTTCAGTAAGGGCTGCGTTGTTTTATGGTACAACACGTGGCCTCTGCGAACAGATGATTTGACGCGCCTTCAGGCTTTTGAGCACCAATGTCTCAGAAGCGCTGCTGGTTTTAGACGGCGTCCACGAATCAATAACGAGGTGATTGGAAAACGGGTAGTTGGTTGTGCAGCAGGTACTTAATTGCGGAGAACATCCAGCATCATCAACTGCGGTGGCTTGGTCATGTGCTGCGCATGCCGAAACAGTGTATACCGAGACAAGTGTTGTTCTCCGTGCCCCCCCCCCCTCAGAATGGCACAGTCTGCAAGGTTTGCAACTTATGGCTTGCCAGAAGGGCGTGAAAGGGACTGCGAAGTATTCAGATGTTAGTGAAATACGCCTTTGAGGATAGGGTCCCCATGACCCCCCCTATGCTTGGCTGGAAACTGCGAGAAATGGTGGCGTTCGTGCTGTCAGTTCCTATCTAAATTGTTTGAGCGCTCTGAGGTGTAAGCACCTAAAAATGCTTGTCACAGGTTAGCACTAGATCCCCTCACTCACCTACTCTTTTCCTCTTCTTTTCGCTCTAAGTCTTTATATATAATTAGGTAAAATTTTGGTTGTACGGCAGTCAAGCATAAGTTTCAACACCGATGTTGCTATCTCTGATGGAGAGGATGATTGTGATGACGGACACCTATCGAAGTTGATGAATGTAGTTACCATGCTTCGGCGCGCGCAGTGCTGACGGAAATCAAAGTGATAATCAGGTCCGCACAGTGCCGTGATCGGAGTCAAGTGGTGTATCCCATGAGGGACGGCAATCTATACTTGAGGCTCTCCATCGGTAACTGATAGCCACATGGCCTATTTGAGTCCATGACTGTGTTGCGGTTAGTGGCCTGCTACTAACCCAGTGTGAGTGCCTGTGCTGAAAGTTCGTACTGGTCAGAAGCGGGAAATGACCAGCACACAACGGAAGCAATTGGCCTCATTATCCGTGCGCTGAGCGTCGACTTCAGGTTTGCCACCCAGTTGTGTTTTCGGACTTAGTTGTCCAACTGGGGTATTCATATCACCCTCCAGAATTACTGTATCCGTCCTTTTTGCTGATCTAAACGGTCGTGACAGATCTTAATAAAACACGTCCTCAGTTTCAGAACTGCAGTCTGTCTGAGCGTATGCTGGTACGACAAATAAATACCGTTTACTGCATCGATCTGCATTGATCTTAATTGAGCCAGACAACTGCACAGCTCAGTGATAACGGTTTACTTGAATCCAGTTCAAATAGACACTTTCAGCTTTCGGGTTGAGTGCAACTCCCACACCTTAAATACAGCGGGCCATTGCTTCAGGATCACCGGATATCCGAAGGGTGAAATGCGGAACATCTGTGCCCACCTTAAGCGCCTTGAGGTGTATCACTGAAACGGGGTCTTATGTATGTGTTTTGGAGACACAGCATACGTTGAAAGATAGGGAAAGCTCGAGAAAGGTCAGTGTTTAATGTACCGGCTTACGGACCGGATGTCCGAAGTTCGAACCCGACCTCAGCATCTCGGGTGTTCCTGTCTAGGTTTGTGCAACCTGACAGTATGCTAGCTCTCGCGCCTCCTTTTTTTGACATGGCAGCTAGGCATTAAAGGGAAGCCACAGGTGAAAGATTTTTCAAAAGCAAGGTTTCAGCAAGATATACATGTTGTCCAATTTGACACGGTATAGGCTGAAATGTGGGTCGCGTCTCTTGAGGTTATAAATAATTATTCTGATTTACTTCGCTGGATGATGATTTAGACCCGGAACAATGGCTATGGTACTGGCAGATGGGTTGATCGCACTGCATCGTTCGCTGAGTGTGGAGTAGGCCAGCGGGCGGAGAGCTACAACTGAACAATGGCTTGGTACTGGCAGATGGGTTGATCGCACTGCATCGTTCGCTGAGTGTGGAGTAGGCCAGCGGGCGGAGAGCTACAACTGATGCTACCTGTCTACTTAATCAGAAGAAGGGTGTTTGGTTGAGGTACTCCAACTCATTCCTTTGACTCAAGAGTCTGAACCACGAGGCAGCGGTCCTTTTCTCGGGGAACCCTTCCCAGAGCCAATGAATCAATAACCTGGCCCTTATGCCGCAGTGAGTCGATCTCGTTCTACGTTGTCCAGACCAGGTGCTTCCCTTTTCTTGCGATTGTTTCATGGTGCCACAGAAGATATGCCACCATTCACGCAAGTCACTCACAAATAAACTATTATACACTTGCCATGCTTGTGGGGATATAAGAAAACATGGCTCCAACGACGATAGGTCGCGGAGCATTCGAGTGCCAACTAGCTGCCAATGTTGTTCGACACCTTGACCGGTTAAGGAGTTCATCTAATGCAAAAATAGCTGTGGGAGACGTTTTGTTTGTGAGAGCTAACTGGGTGATTTAACGGCTTGATGGAATTCATTGTCACTTTGATAGCCTAGTTACTTGAGTGGGAAAACTTCAAGGAAGAAGACAAAGGGGCACTGGATGAAGATTTACTATTTTGAAGATGAACCAATTGAACCAGATGAACCAATTGAAGAAAAAAGCGCTGCGGCTCAGTTGGCTACAACAGAGAAAATGAAGTCACAGTGAAATATTACAAAGAGTAGGATTGTTCGTTAGGACCTGACCGTTCTAATAGGAGACGACTCCGTACATAGACCTATCGGGGTTCACATCACACCCGAAGAAGAAGCAAAAGCCAAACGAGCGACCGAATTCATCGAGGTGATTGCTCCCGCGGGAATAGCTACAATAGGTATCGTTGCTCTCTTGTTATGAGCAGTTGAGGAGACGATGGCCGATGGGACTGCAGTTTAGGGGAGGATAGTACGGCTCTTGTTTTCTCTGGGGGCGAGACGGCCCAAGTGGTTAGAGCACGAATTTACTGACCGGAAGGTCCGTGGTTCGAATCCGGCCTCTGCCACTCGACTTCCCCTGTTTAGGTTTGGGCAACCCGGCAGTATCCCAGCCCTCGTGCTTCCTTCGGGTGGCATGGCAGCTAAGCACCGAAAGGGCGCTACAGCTGAACGATTTTTTTTATGAATCAGATGAGGTGACGGTTGATGCACAGTAAGACACTTATACAGAGCAGACTCGGTCTGATGGTGGGTAAGCCACTAGACTACACAAAAACGAGTAAAACCACGGAAATTTATTCTCCTCTGATTGTAACACACCAGTGCTACTGTTTTGTACTGAAGCATCACACCTACCCTCTCACTACTGACTACTTTAGCCATTCTTCACTTCTAATATCTAATGGTATTTGCGTGAGCACAACAGTCAGCAGCACATGTTGCTCCATCATCTTTTCCAGACATACTGCAGACCCAGACTTTGGACCAATATTTAGATTATATGAATTTTTAGGTGTAACATTCTTTCGGTGCCTAGCCGCCATGTCACCCGAAAAAAGCTCGAAGGCTGAGATATCGCCATCTATACCTCTTGGATGACGAGGACGGTGTCAACTGTATATTCCAGATTGGCAAGGTTTTCCTCAACAGCTCTCGGGTTTTGAAGACCTTCCAGCGTTTATCTCCTTTTCTCATCAATGACAAAATTCGGTAGGAATGGAGAGAGTGAAAGAAAAATCGTTCAGTTGTAACACCCTTCCGGTGCCCAGCTGCCATGCTACCTGAAGAAAGCACGAGTGCTGGGATACTGCCAGGTTACCCAAGCCTAGACAGGGGAAGTCGAGAGGCAGAGGTCGGGTTCGAACCACGGACCTTCCGTCAGTAAATTCGCCCTCTAACCACTTGAACCATCGCTGACGGACATCTTTTCTTGTAGAGAAGCTCTTGGAGAGCCCTCCGTGTACTCTGACACGTTTGTAAGTCTGAGAATACAGAGGCCTTATGATATTCACGAGTTTCCGGGGCATCCCTTGTTGGGGAACTCTATTAAGGGAAGAATATCGGCCGACCGACCCGAATGCCCTTTGAAAATTCAGTAACGTAGTTCTAGCACCTGACAGAATGTAAACATTTAGTCCCACCGGACCGGAATCCCGTTTACTGCTTTCGAGTGAATGCGTCACGAACCACGATAAGGCGATGAAGAACAAGTGATGCCAAGGGTCTCGTTGTGATTGGGGATAAACTGATCGGGTTCACATCACACCCGAAGAAGAAGCAAAAGCCAAACGAGCGACCGAATTCATCGAGGTGATTGCTCCCGCGGGAATAGCTACAATAGGTATCGTTGCTCTCTTGTTATGAGCAGTTGAGGAGACGATGGCCGATGGGACTGCAGTTTAGGGGAGGATAGTACGGCTCTTGTTTTCTCTGGGGGCGAGACGGCCCAAGTGGTTAGAGCACGAATTTACTGACCGGAAGGTCCGTGGTTCGAATCCGGCCTCTGCCACTCGACTTCCCCTGTTTAGGTTTGGGCAACCCGGCAGTATCCCAGCCCTCGTGCTTCCTTCGGGTGGCATGGCAGCTAAGCACCGAAAGGGCGCTACAGCTGAACGATTTTTTTTATGAATCAGATGAGGTGACGGTTGATGCACAGTAAGACACTTATACAGAGCAGACTCGGTCTGATGGTGGGTAAGCCACTAGACTACACAAAAACGAGTAAAACCACGGAAATTTATTCTCCTCTGATTGTAACACACCAGTGCTACTGTTTTGTACTGAAGCATCACACCTACCCTCTCACTACTGACTACTTTAGCCATTCTTCACTTCTAATATCTAATGGTATTTGCGTGAGCACAACAGTCAGCAGCACATGTTGCTCCATCATCTTTTCCAGACATACTGCAGACCCAGACTTTGGACCAATATTTAGATTATATGAATTTTTAGGTGTAACATTCTTTCGGTGCCTAGCCGCCATGTCACCCGAAAAAAGCTCGAAGGCTGAGATATCGCCATCTATACCTCTTGGATGACGAGGACGGTGTCAACTGTATATTCCAGATTGGCAAGGTTTTCCTCAACAGCTCTCGGGTTTTGAAGACCTTCCAGCGTTTATCTCCTTTTCTCATCAATGACAAAATTCGGTAGGAATGGAGAGAGTGAAAGAAAAATCGTTCAGTTGTAACACCCTTCCGGTGCCCAGCTGCCATGCTACCTGAAGAAAGCACGAGTGCTGGGATACTGCCAGGTTACCCAAGCCTAGACAGGGGAAGTCGAGAGGCAGAGGTCGGGTTCGAACCACGGACCTTCCGTCAGTAAATTCGCCCTCTAACCACTTGAACCATCGCTGACGGACATCTTTTCTTGTAGAGAAGCTCTTGGAGAGCCCTCCGTGTACTCTGACACGTTTGTAAGTCTGAGAATACAGAGGCCTTATGATATTCACGAGTTTCCGGGGCATCCCTTGTTGGGGAACTCTATTAAGGGAAGAATATCGGCCGACCGACCCGAATGCCCTTTGAAAATTCAGTAACGTAGTTCTAGCACCTGACAGAATGTAAACATTTAGTCCCACCGGACCGGAATCCCGTTTACTGCTTTCGAGTGAATGCGTCACGAACCACGATAAGGCGATGAAGAACAAGTGATGCCAAGGGTCTCGTTGTGATTGGGGATAAACTGATCCGGCTGTAACTACCGCATTCACTACGAGCCCTTTTATTAGAATGGATATTATCACCGATCCTCTGCAATTGTCTGAGACTGCCTCCTTTTCCTATTTGCAGGCAAGTAGGGACAAGCGCCGACTGAGGACTTTACTTCCATTTTTGAACAATGGGGTGAGAGATGGTGCTTCAAAATAAACTTACACTGATCACCTCAAATATCCTTTCTTACAGTGCTAACTGACAGTCGTGATAGTTCTTCTGAGTAAGGACACTTCTCAATTCGCAAAACTTGAGCGTACCTATAGCCAAAAACACGCTGCTCCTGGTTCTTATCACCCATTTTCGTTCACTTCCTCGTCTTAATCCTAATAGAACTAACTCTCATGATTTCCATTTCTCGGGTGTTCTGTTAGGTTGTTTCAACCATCCGAAATGGGCCACACGGAAGTCGCTCCGTATGAAGTTCTTCAAGAATGGAAAGACGAGGTAAAAGCTTTTATTTAATCACAGTGCTCTCCCACAATCTAGAATGTGGAATTACGTTCTTACCCTGTGCAAAATTGGGTGTGCACCCAGGCTACATCCCACCGGATGGATGATATGTCATCATCAGGGTTTTTCAAGCTGTTCAATTACATCAGAGGAAACAACGCTAAAAGTGTTCGTTGTTTAAGGTATTCCTTAAACTAAACTTTGGATATTTCAGATCAGAAAATTGCCATGACGAAGCCTGTATTGATTGAAAGCAAGCCGGATCCAGAATCTGCACGTAATCGAATATTCAAAATGGGATTCTATATGTCTGCAACTGACTGTCCCTCACCTCCTGAACCAAAGGGGAGCGACGTGTTCATTGAACAGAGACAAGCTATGAAAGTTTATTGTCGGTAGGTCCCTTCACTGTTTTATCGCATCTTGTGATTGACGCCGACTAATTGACCGGAATGATCGCCTCGCGTATCTTGTCATATTGCGTGCGCTCCGAAACCCTGAGATCTGCTGTGAGACGAGCGGTTCCTTATGTTTTTTTAGAACAGTAGTCAGACAACTATTATATCAAATCACCTAGTGGGCACAAGCCAAATCGTCCTTCTGGGCGCTCGCATTTAAATATGCCTGAGAACGAAACCGTGAAACTGTGCGACTTACCTCTGACATTTACGCCTGTCATGACACTCATACTATCAGCTTCCGATTCGCATCACGTTTGTTCTTGTCTGTCGGAACATTCGTTTAACGTGTTTCATGAAATCGTATGGTAACAAGTCGTGCGCACAGTTTTTTCCAGCAGCTGTTTCCAGTCATGATTAGAACCTGAAATCCTAGGTTCATATGAATATATGATGCGGCGAAGTGAGGGTCTGTACCCGTGTGAACTGCTCTGCAATTCTTGCAGTGTAGTACACTGCACTTCAGCTAGAACTGTCGGATCCTACCAACTCGTGCGACTGTCGCGTCTTAGCGTGTTCAGATTACTTACGGGAACCTAACAGACTTATCCTGCCACATCACATTGATCCAGCCAGTTTCAATCGAGGGCCGTTATGATGCACTACTCAAGTGATGCAGCTAGATGACACGGGCATTCGCTAATGCGTGCACTCCTACACGTAAATAATGTGACTTGTCAGTTAAAGTGGATACTTCCATTTAGTAAAGCTCGTCAAAACAGTCGAGGAAAACTAGGTAAATTTCAGTGCGAGTCCCCCCATCTCAAATTCCACCCCACCCTCAAAGTCCCCTGTAGAAAATGTCCCCATATGAGTAATACGTGATCTAGACGTCTCTCTTACCATTTTTGCGTAGAGTATGCGAGGTTTCTGGATGGGAGCCACCAAGCTCTATTTCCGTTCCCTTACATCGTAAGTGATCATATGCTAACTAAGCAACGCCATACTACATTTATTACCCATAGCGCTGACTTAGACTAGGAATCTGGAAACCATGCATGTGTGAGTATTGTGTTTTCCAGTTGGAGCAACACCCGTTTGAGACACATTTAGGATATACCATAGCCTTTCTCCCCCTAAATATTTCTACCAGTGAGTTCACTTTATTCTTGCATATTCTCCCTGTACTTTGAAACTGTACTTTTACCAACCGGATTTTACTTTCATGAGATCTTTTGCGTGCCTCTTCTACTTTCATCCGTTTCACAATGTTACCTGCACTACTGTCTCCCAACTGAACTCAAACATGTGACCTGAGTAGTGATCTGCTTTAGGTACAAATCGGCTGTCTATTGTAGTCGATGCGGAGCAACTTTATTCTTCGTTACTGAATGCATTGCCAAAAATGTCCAGAATGTAGGATACATGGATGTATTCTTCACAAGGTGCGTCAGTGAAAATATCTTCGCGGTGTAATTCAGTGGTGATTGATAACTCTTCTTGTGCAGCCGCGCTTCAGACGAAATTGTTGAGACGTTAATCACGTTAATTTGATCCTTTTGCAGGAAGGAGGGGAAATATTCCACCTACCTCCTTATGTCGACGTTAGATTGAAACCAATAAAAATACCCGTGTGTGTTGCTATAGTATAGATTAGAGACTGGAGGAAACTGATATTTGGTTCGTGCTATGCAAGTAGGAGTTCTGAGGATTTTTTCGTAAATCCGAACTGTTGTGCCGTGAACAGAGCGGTTACCGGGCCAAGCTCAGGAACCGGGGTTTGGTGTGGTAGTCCTGACTAAATATCCAGTATAATTCTCAGCACATGCAGCACAACACAAATATCAATAGAACAAATTAATCAAACACGGGGGCGCAATGCAGGCGTAGTAGGAGCGGGCAACAACACGTCGAACTGCAGTGTGCGTAACATGCACACCGTGCAGTAGCAACCAGAACATCAAAGAACACTTAACATAACAGTGTCCATACGTATGATACTCTCATCGTTGGTGAAACAGCACATTGGCGTCGGACGTTTGGCTGTCATGGCAGTAATGATAAAAGCTTCCATTGTCACCAGCATCTGTTTCGAGAACGCCTATCCGTTATCCTTCAGACAGAGTCTCCTCTAAAGGGAGCGCTCCAAGCAAAGGACCAAAATTGGTCCCATCTGAGCGCTGGTCTCCCCTGACCGAGACCCAAGTGAAAGCAGGTAGAGATGATTTTTTCAAACAGGTCTAGACGTTAATTCATATGAGTCATCTCATTTCACGTTTCGTGCAGTGTATACAATAGTTGACATGCAAGTAGTAAATGTTTCGACTAGTTCTCAAATGAAAACGAAAACTTATGCATAAATTGGTTTAAGTTAAATCGTAATTGCGGTGTGGTCGTGAAAGATAGAAGCAAAAACGGGATAGGGTAAGAGGACTTCACACATCATATCACAAGATCATGTGAATTTAAGGGTGTAAACTGCCTTGATTCAAAGATCTTTGATAGGCAAAGAGTATCATCATCATCATCGACAGCATGACATCAGTGTTCAACACCGATGCTTCACTGCCGTACAACCATGACTTATTTGAAAGCCTTATTGTAAAGAAAAGAGTAAAGGTGGACGGGGAGTATAGATGTACCCCCATGCACCCAGTCCACCGGCGCTGTTTGATGTTCTGCACGTTGTTATTTACCATCTCCCTTGAACGAACGACTAATCCAATCAGCCAGTCCATGTTGTCCGAAACCCATTTCTGCTCTTTACTTTAGTAGAAATATTTGCCACGCGAAAGCAGTGTATTCACCGACTCCAGCACAGTTCCTATGCTAACCGGTCTGCTAAGAGTACTTCATCGGGACGATTTCACTGGTTTTCCGATGCACCCACTCCCAACCGTACAACTTCAACGACAAAGCTGTCATACAAGCGCCCTTCGGGGAGCTCTGGCGTACGTCTATACACAAAACCTCTGTCTAGTTTTTGTAGTTGGTTTGACACAAAGCTTTATCGCTCTTAGGAGTAAACTCCTTAGGCGCTATTGACGGAATGCCGCTTAGTTCAAATGCGCCACTCATTTCTATGTAGACAAGTTTTAACACATTTTTCTGTCAGTTGTGCCAGTGAACAAGCTTGTTAAAATGTTCTCGAAAATCCATCTGTGACAACAATAGAAAGCGTTCAGCCGTAGCACTCTTCCGGTGCCTAGCTGCCATGCCATCCGAAGGAAGCGCGAGGGCTGGGATACTGCCAGGTTGCCCAAGCCTAGACAGGGGAAGTCGAGTGGCAGAGGTTGGATTCGAACCACGGACCTTCCGGTCAGTAAATTCGCGTTCTTACCACTTGGACCATCTCGCCCAATAAGGTAATCCTCAGTCACTTCTTCGTCCCCGCTTTGATGTGCTATTTCCTACTAATTTGGCATCGCCTGTAATATTCTCCGTTGTTCACTTTCAATAAACTGCTAGATCAGGGCACGAGTATTTTTGTCTAAGAAATTCTACGGCGCCCAGAATTGGGGATTTCTTCAACGATGAGACAATATCTGGTGGGAGTGAAACCGTTGTGGCTTCCAACTTGCAGACCCGCAACTGTGAAAGCGCATACGTCATATTGTCTCATC